TAGTACGCATTGCCTTGGCCTTGCGCCTACCTTTGTCCCTTGTTACCTTGGATATTCTTGAGGAGCTGGACGTATCTTGGAGTATGGCGAGGAGTTAAAACATGTCCTTTCCCATCACGTGCCAGGAACTGCATGTAAGACTTGTCGCTACTATTATGAATCCCTAAAACGCGTGCATTACTAGCTCCGTTCTGCCAAGTATTCTAGTGAGGCGTTTATTGAATTGCTATGGCTCGCCGCGGGTTCTTTCCAAGGCATGAACTGCTATCAATTTCGGAGCTCTTTGCACTAGGTAGATTCATCAGTTGGGTTTCGTGGCATGTTGCTGTCACAGCAGGTGCTTTTTCTTCTCTGCGCACCTGCCTCGGCGTCAAAATCATGGCATCGTAATCTTCAGCAACGGCTCGTTCCATGCTCATGCGCAAGATTTGTTAGTGAAAATACAGTAACCCGGTATTAATCCATAAAAGTCATTTTGGGAGTTCGAAGCAAGATTTCACGCTGCTGTTTGTCGATAGCTATGCAGTGCTGTGCCTAGATACTTGAGTAACAGCAGATCTATCCAACCAGTGTCTCGCCTCTCCTCTATGAAAATGAAGAAGACAACCTCGTCATCCTACCTTGATTTTGGTTGTGAAAGATTCAGCCAGACGCGGAATGTTCAAGAGATGTTGTAGAAGGTCTTCGATTTGGACGAGGGCCACGATCCAACTGAAGCCCCACGCGCGGAATCGATGCGCATCGCCAAGCGCGGCTGACTGATCGATTGAAAATCCTCCGGTACCACGGACTCCCGTACCCGGCGTACCGTTAGTTACAGATACCACTGTACGGGCGATCTTCAGGAGACAAAAAGTTATCATGATCAAGCAGCTTTCTCAGCATTGGCATTAACTCCGGAGTCCCGTTGTTGTGATCACGTCATGCCTACCTTTGCCCCGCGCTCGCTGTTGACAGGTCTGATAACGGGCCTATTCCTCGCCTTGTTATTGCAGCATGTGGTGCCTGCTTTGAAACTGCCGACCTACCATAGTCACGACGCGTCTGTAACATCTACGCCGCTATACCTATCCGAGTCGATGGCGCAGGTTGTGAGAAATAGCCTCCGCGCCGCTAGGCATCGTGCGTGGGTCGGCGGTGGATACAAAAGCGCATCGTCGCTGCTCTCTCCATCTTCAACATCTGCTCTTCGCATCCATCCAGCCTCTCCAACTACATCACGCACCATGTCTACCCAGAAGTCTTTCTTCGACGCTGTCATTGAGCGTCGCACATACTACCAGCTCAACAAGGAGTCGCCCATCTCCGACAAGCAGATCACTGATATTGCTGAGAAGGCTCTTCTTCATGTGCCTTCATCTTTCAACTCTCAGAGCACCCGTCTGGTCGTTCTTCTGAACAACGATCATGAGAAGTTCTGGGACTTTGTCCTTGAGGTTCGTACTATCTGGAGGACTCCATGCGAGGTGTAGAATGTTGTACTTAATACAGACTAGGTCCTGAAACCCCTCACTCCTGAGGAGCAATTCCCCAAGACTGAGCAGAAGATTGGAGGATTCAAGGCGGCGAAAGGAACAGTAAGTGCATGTATCGTATTATCAGACACCATCTAACAAGATGCCCTCAGATTCTCTGCTATGAAGACCCCGAGCCAGTCGAGGGTCTCCGCAAGGCCTTCCGTAAGTGATCTCAATTATCCATATAGCTCATGCTCACATCTATCGTAGCTCTCTACGCCCATCACTTTGGCGACTGGTCTGAACACACGAACGCCATGCACCAGTACGCTCTCTGGGTCGCCTTGGAAGCCGAGGGCCTTGGTGCCAACCTTCAACACTACAACCCCATCATCGACCAAAAGGCTGCTCAGGAATGGAGCATTCCCCTAGAGTGGAAGCTTAGGGGTCAGCTGGTCTTCGGTGGACGCGCAGGCGAGCCCGGCGAGAAGAAGTTCCAGGAAGTGCAAGGCAAGAGACTGTTTGTGCACGGAGCGAAGGAGTAGTTGCGAGTACTGATTACGGCAACGACATAGAAACTAATATTATCGCATTTCATCTATCACAAGACGGCGACATTGTTCAGTAAATCACTTGCTTTCCAACACTATCTTCCGGACGATCGCAAAATGCTTGTCTAGGAACAAGAAGCTTCTCTGGGCTAACAAAGGCCAGGCTCCAATACTAGCCGACAACCCGCCATCTGCCGGCTCCGATGGGGTCCAGAGTTCCTTGTTTCCTTCCGGCACCTTGGTGAGTAGCTTGTGAATTTTGACTGCCCCACTTTCTGCGGAAGAGTACATCTCGGCACCCCCACCCGGTCCCGTAAGAAGCACGGGGCACGTGACCCTGTTCAGGATCTTTCCATCTTTCTTGGTGTCCAAAGAGAAGTCCTCGAGGCGTCGCAGCATCATACCGGGCGAACCAACACCCATGCTACTCACACCTAGGCCTAACTCCCACCGTATCTGGAAACTCCACCAGCTCTGCAGACTCGCGATCAAGTTGAACATTTCCTTGGTGACCCAACCGCCCTTCCATAGGCTGACGAAGGATTGCGGCACTCGTGTCATCGCAAGATCGAACATGCTGAAGAACGGATCAATGGACACGCAGGCTTTGACACGGGAGTCGGTGGCTGCGCGCAGAGCAAAGTAACCTCCAGTGACAGCGCCCGCAACAGCAATCCTATCCAGATCCAACTGCAACTCCGGCTGCGATTGGGCCAAGTTCTCAAGGAACCCCAACACCTTGTTTGCGACGACCTCAAAGTCAGGCCGAAGAGGAACCCCAGACTTCTTCAACAGCAAGCCCTGCCCCGGGCCCTCTAGCAGAAGCACAGCATAGCCCAGCTGCGGACCCGAGTAACCGAACAGGAAATGCAGCTCTTCTTTTGTCGAATCAGCACCGCTGAAGTAAAGTAGCAGTGGTATCTTGCCCGGCAGTCTCGCCTCTGGAGGGGGAAGGTACAAGTACGCCGGCATACTAACCCCGTTCTCATACGGAACATCCACCAACCTAACCTCCCCCTCCATAAACGCCGTCGCTCTCACAAACGCCTCAACCGACCTCTCCGACAACGGCACAACCCTCGCATCATCATTGAGGAACAGGTACGAAGCAGCGCGGAAATAGTTCGACGCGCGCAGGTACCCGTTCTTCGCCATAGCGTTTAGCCCGTTCTTAGCAGCATCCTTTGCGATTGCTTCAGCCCGCTCTCCTTGTTCTTTCCACGCCGCGTGCCAGGATTCTGGGTCGTTCTTCTTGATTTTGCTGGCTGCCGTTAGGAACTCGGCTGTGTCGCAGCCGCCGGCTGAGGTGCTGCCGAGGAGACGGGTCAGCTCGAAGTCGAGGATGGGGTTGTTGAAGAATTTGAACATCGTGGGGTTTGCGCGAGATTGATGCACGCTGTTCTGGGGTTTTCTCTGTTGGTGCTGTGGACTTGTGTGGTACTGGCAGATGAAGAATTTGGCTGCTTCTCTGCTTGACGAAATGAATCGCCCTGTCGACGTGTCCGCGGGTACTGTTTTCGCAACGATTTGGTGGGCCTCGAACTGCTTCGGTGCCTCAGCTCCACGCCCGATTGATTTCGATCTTTTTTGCAAGCTCCGATTCGGTGCTGACACGCCACTACTAAGTTCGTTGTGCTGCCTGTCGTGCATTGCCGAATTCGGGACTTTTGCAAACGGCACTTTATATGTCCGGCCAGTCCCTTCACGCCGTTGACATGTGCAACACGTCGACGACGTTTCGGAATGATCTCTGACCTCTTCATTCTTGGTTCTTATTACCATTTTCTCCCTTTCACCGGCCCAGTCGAATCAAACGAGCCAGCTAGATACGTAAGCTGCCTACCTAGGCACGCAACCTACAACCTACACCACGCATACCCACAACTAGATCCGCTCACTATCCAAACCAAGATGGCTGCGCCCCCGGAGGTCACAATGCATGACTTCACAGGTTCCTGGTTACTAGTAAGTCAATCCAGACACCCTCCAAGTCGCCTCGCCCAAACCGTCCAACATCCACTAACAACCCCAGAACAAAACCCTGTCCGACTCGTTCGACTCCGCCTTCGTCCTCCAAGGCATCCCCTGGATAATCCGCAAAGTCATCAGCCTCGCGACCCTAACCATGAAAATCGCCCACTCGGTCGACGAATCCGGCGTCCCAACCGTGATCTTCACGCAAGCCGCCTCCGTCGCCATCGCCGGTCTGAGCGAAGAGATAGAAACGCGGTGGTTGGACGGACGAGAACAACTTCACTCGTCGTCTCTGTTCGGCACATCTTCTGCTCGGACTCGCATGATCTGCTTTGATACTGCTACTGGGTACGACGGCAAGCCGCTGGATGCGGTGTTGACGAAGGATTCTCTGCGGGAGGGAAAAGAGGGTGAAGAGGAGTTTTTGTTTGACCTTGTTGTGCATCAGACTAGGGGCTGGGTTATGGAACAGATTTGGGGGTTTGGCATGCTGAATGGAGAGCGAAGGCTGCTGAGGAAAATGGGGTTGAAGAAAGGAGGGGAGGCGGTTTATGTTACGGCTTGGTATGATTGGAAGGGGAGAGATGATGGTAATTGAAAGGCTCTGTTGCCTTCACCCAGTCGCAAGTATCTAGATACTCGAAGCCGTTATTCTGTACTCCCTGCGATCGAGTTTTTTGTTACTATGCGACCCATATGCGACGAATGTGCGACCCAAAGGTCTCAGTATGTCTTTCTCCTAAATTATGTTCGTCACTTCAGACCACTGCTGCTCATCATGTAGAAGGTCGCTACAGGAAGGGCCGTCATGCTGCCGAGATACGTCATCATGACATAATAGCGTCGCTAGTGCCCGGTTTTGGCAGATGTTGAAATAGGGGATAGCAAAGTTGCATTGAAGTACTACTATACTCCATACGGTATTTACCAACCCAACCTATATAGCATCGCACGACCAAGTTATCCCAGCCTACAGCAATGACTTTTCCATCGCCAGTCATCATGTCTCCCAGCTCCCTCACCACGGTGACCAAGCCCTGACAAAGTCAACAGCATAGTCCTTCTTCGTTCCCAAGAACCCCACGCCATACAAGAGCCAAACAACCCACTGAGGAATGTATAGCGGAAACTTAGCCTGCTCCGTCAAGCCACGCCCTTCATACTGCGGTCCACCAACCTCGCCGCCAATAACACGGTCCGCAAAGTCACTCATACCAAGGCCCTCACCGATACCCAGCTCAAACCACATCAGCATGTGCTGGGTCTCGAACTGCCACTTCTTGCCTCGAGCCGGCGACACAAACTCAAAGATACCACCGGTATTGTTGTCGTGATACGATCCTCCACATTCACCACCGCTGTTATACGTGTCTAAGAAGTAGTCCTCGGTCTCGGAGACATCTCCAACGCGCGTGCCTACTAGAAGCTCGTCGTTGTAGAAGAGAACGGCGGAGGTGAACTTCTTGCCCAGGTCTTCGCCCACGCGTGATACCACGTGCCAGTAGGCGATGGTGTAGGGCCCTGCCCAGAGACGTAAAGCTACCCAGCTCTCCGTTAACGGAAGCCAGCCGTCTTTGGCCCAGAGACGGGTTGAGCCGCCTCTGCCGCTGAAGGATAGCTTTTGGCCCGAACCCAGAACACTGTCCATGACCACCTCGCCACCAGCGACAGGCTGGCTGTAGTAGAGGTCGGGTGAAAGTAGCGCGGCGTCTGCTGCATTCTCGCCCTCTGCACCTGGTGTCGAGCCGTCTGCGTGAACGGGTGGCGTGGTGGCTGATAGCTTGTATGTGCCGCGTATGCCTGGCGAATCGAACACGAGCTTGCTGTATTTGAGGTCCTTGGTGGTATAGAATGAGTACGATTTACCCGTACTATTCCAGATACCGTAGGTATAGCCAGGACAGTCCAGTATGGTAGATTCTTCGAGGTACTCGAGCATCTTGTGGTGCTTGCCGTCCCCAGTGTTGGCAAAAAAGTCCACTCGCAGGTTCCCTCTGCCGAAGTAGTGCATCGAATAGTCGCGTGAGAACATTATCGCCAAGAGGGAAACGCCCGTGTGGGACATTCCATCGAATTCCCATTGTTCCCAGTTGGTCTTATTGATATTTGGGGTGATCTTGATCGAGTTGATGGGATCGGATGGAGATGAGGAAAAGCTGTTGGGGCCGTCGAGCACTTCGAAAGCTGTGCTCCTGCTGATGGTACAGGATTCGTCGTCCCATGTTGGGTTCAGGTCATCATCAACGGGAAATTCCGAGGAACCTAAAGGTAGCTGATGCAGGTTTGCGGCGGTGAAGAGAGAGAAGAACGACGCAAGGATGAGTGTCGTGAACATCTTCGACATGGTACCGGAGCTGAGCTACTGCCTGTTCACTGCGGTAAGTCGGCTGGAACAACGGACTTCGCTCGCGTATTACCTTCATTATACGGGTCAAGCATGAAATCAAGGTGTTTCTCTTTCTCACAACCACTACAAAAAGTCCCGAAAACTCTTGGTATGTACTTCGCTAGCTCTGGAAAGTCCCGACCCTGCTCATTCAACTTCCGAACTCCCGAAGAGCACCAATAGCTACTACTCTAGAGTATCTCCCGCCTGGGCTGAGAGAGATGTAGTAAGCTTACTATCAGAGTGAAAAGCAGTGAGCTGCATCTTGGGGACGCCATGAATCCAAGTGACCCGGCATACTGGGACTGCACTTCTCTACAGAGTACCAGACAATGGCAACATCAATTCTCCCAGCGCTCCCCCCATTGCGGCAAGCTGTCGTGCAGTCAGCCACGACACCCGGAGCCTTTGACCTCCGCACTGACCTGCCCATGCCAACCATGTCACCTGACCATGTTCTCATCAAGGTGAGCGCAGTGGCGGTTAACCACTGGTAAGTCATCGCTTTGTGCAATGCATTTTAAGACATATACTGACTTCGTACGTCTACCCCTGTAGCGACTACAAGATGCCAGCACGAATACATTGTCCCAACACGGTCGACGGCTGCGACTTCTCAGGTACAGTCGTGCGCGTTGGCGACACTGTTGCCAGTACCCCTGGCGGTCTGAAAATTGGCGACCGTGTTGCTGGCGCTCAGATGGCCTCCCAGGCTCGACGACCCTGGTCGGGTGCCTTCACTGACTACATCGCGGAGAAGCCTGACAACCTGTGGCGTGTTCCCGACCACTTCTCTTGGGAGCAGGCGGCTTCGATAGGGTGCGCTGTGGCCAGCAGCGTGGGAATGGCGCTTTGGTGGGAAATGAAGCTGTCTGGAACGCCCGAAGAACCGACGAAAGACCCCAAATTCGTTCTGGTCTATGGTGGTTCCACTGCCAGTGGAACCTTTGCCATGCAGCTGTTGAAGATGTGAGTGACCCATGGTTTCCCTTTCACTGCGAAGTGTCGTGAGCGTGTGATGATTGATCTAACGTGTTCGTAGGTCGGGCTATCGAGTCATCACAACCTGCTCTCCTAAGAACTTCAAACTAGTCGAAGAGTACGGAGCCGAGAAGGCGTTTGACTACCACTCGCCGACATGTGGAGAAGATATACGAGCCTACACTAAGAACTCCTTGGAATATGCACTAGACATCATTACCGAAGCGAGGTCTATCCGCCAGTGCTACGCAGCCATCGGACGTGGTGGTGGTAGATACATTGGATTTGAGCTCTTACCGGATGATCTCATGGCCACAATGAGGAAGGCCGTCAAGCCATCTTGGGTCATGGGCTTGGAGGTGGCCGGATTGGAGTTGGAGTTGCCAGGAGGGTACTATCGCAAGGCAAACCCCGAACTGCATGACTGGCTTCATGGGTGGATCAAGCGCTTCGCCGCGTTGCTTGAGTCCAAAAGATTGAAACCACATCCTATGCAGATCAATCCGGGCGGATTAGCAAAGGTGATTGATGGACTGGGAGTCTTGCAGCGAAAGGAAGTCTCAGCGCAGAAGCTAGTGTATCCTCTGTATGAAAATTAGACGCAAGTACAAGTGGCCATAGGCCATTACGACTCGTTCTAGTCATCAAGGAATGACATTGACTCCTTGATACTAGCTCGGATCGACTCTACGTACGACTTGCTACCATGCAGTGATTTGACATCCTCCTGTGCCATAACGGCCCAAAACAATCGGAGTCGGGATGGACTGGAAAATATTCCCGAGGCGCCCGCACTAGATGAGAAGGCTGCCTCGCCCGAGAGGCAGTACTCGGCTGGAATGCCCATGCGACACTCTAGTGTCTGCACCTGGCACTGAATAGCGTCCAAGATGCCTGTGGCATACGCCTTGAGGGGCATGTCTTGAAGTGCGGAGACACCACCAATGCGGAGTACTGATTTGACTTTGATGGATCTATACGATTCCGGCGACACGTGGCAGAGGTATTTGTGTATGCGCTGGAAAAGTGAGTCGAAGAGCCTCATCAACGCAAGGTAACTTGACAGGACCAGAAGCAGAGTTTCCGTGTTGAGTGTATCCTCGGTCTGCGTGTACAATTGAACAGTCGGTGTCAGGCTTTGAATTATCCCGGTGAACTCTTTGGTGCATGTCAGAAGTAGAGCTGCTGGATTTTCGACATCTCCCCCCACGGCATCATCTTTGCAACGCTGTTGGACTTTAGCGGCGTTTGAATAGTATGCGTCAATAGTCGTAATGCGGTGGTCTATTTCCTCACGGAACATTACTAGAGAGCTTGCCGGACTGGAAATCTGTGGTAGTGGTGTTGGCGGCATAATCTCCTCCCCAAAATTGAGGAGCGGGTCGATATTCATATCGAGAGCGGTGTTAGAGGTCGCGCCCATGTGGAGCAAGATGTCGAATTCGTCGTCTGCACCTGGGAGTCCCTGGAGTTGTGATGGAGCGCCAAGCTGATCTGCTAGGTAGACGCTGTCCTCACCCGACGCGGGACTTTGATCCATTGAAGATGGATAGGAGTCGAAGAAGGCGGAAATATCGCCCGTCGCACCCCAGAAATCTGGTAATGGCTCATGAGCGGCAGGGTCTCTTTGCGAAGGGAGGTGCTCGGCGGGATCGTATGCTTTTGTAGGCGCGGGCTGCTTCGACATCCCGGCTGTATGGGCGTTGTCGTGGTTCGCGTCCTGTGACTTCGACGCGCGATGGGCTCGGGGCGAGGCAACGGCGTGACGCTGCTTGGGCGGTCTTCCCGGATGACCGGCAGCGCCTGTTACGCATTGCGCGCCCATGTAGCAGCAGCGAGCGCACGCCGCCGTGCTGTCTTGGGCGCGAAGGCATCGAACTCGCTTCGCCCTGCACTGGTCTGCAGAGGTAGAGGTACGAAGTCAGTACATGTCTCACATGCATTTCGTACAGCCAGGACTTACCGCACGCGGAGCGCCGGACTGCGGACTTGTGCATACCTTTAGTTGGTGTCGTGTTTGGACAGACGCGGAAATGGGAACCTTGGAATGGAAAGCAACCGAGCTAAAGGATAGATGTTCGCATGATTTGATCAGGATAGGCTGACTGTTGTTGCGCGGGTTAGTCACGTGGTAAACCCCCCGAGGAGGGTTTGAGATTAGCCAATCGGCAAGCGTCGCCCCACTTTAAACCGGGGCCATGTCGAGGTGCGTGTGAAGGAGCGTAGTGGCCGGTTTCTGGAATTCACGGTCGAACGCTGGTGAAATCATCTCGTGTTGTTTGGTTTCAGACTCTGATTTTATGTACATGAGCTAGCAGTTGTTACCAATACACCTGCATCATTGAGCTACCTAGGTATTGAACCAAACGTTCATTCCGCTGGGAAATTCTATCCATGTGTGGCTTCCATCCCCTCTAGACATTTAGGCGATGGATATAACTACAATCCTGGAATCTCATCCTTTGCTGTACCTTTCGCTTCCTCCTCCATAGGCTTGTCTTTACTCTCTGTCATGCCAAATTCGGTGTCGTTTTCGCTCCTGAGCGGTACCTGCTTCAGCAGAGCAGCAGCAATAAGACCCACTCCACCAAAGGCAATGGCGACCTGCCAGGATCGCTGAAGCGCGGTGCTCTGTACGGAGATCACTTGCGCACGCGTCTGAGCGGATAGCGTGTCAAGGAAATCGACTTCAGCTGCGCCGTACGCGCCACCCGTCATGAAAAGAGCCGCTACCGTTGTGTCGCTGATAGTCCCCGAGCGAGCCAGCTGTGCAGCTCGGTTGGTGTAGACGGTACCGGCGATGGCCACGCCCCACAAGACGCCGAAGCTTCGCATGAAGCCCCAAGTGGCCGTCGCTACTGCGGTATCCTTGTCAGTTAGAGAGGCTAGCAACGCGGGAAGCATAGCCCCCATGCCGAAGCCCGCGCCAAAGGACTCAAGCACCTGAAAGCCCACCCACGCACCTGCACTCGACGTCTCATCCAGGAGTGTGAACACGCCAAATCCGGCGACAATCAAGGCGAAGGCAGTGACGAGAATGGGCTTGTAGCGGCCGAACTTGCTAAGTAGAAGCCCGCCGATGATCGCACCTGGGAGAAGTGCGAGGATGGTGGGGAGAAGGTATATGCCGGCGTTGTATGCATCTACTGCGAGAACGCCTTGGAAATATACCGGGAGGAAGTAAAGTGTCCACATAGTGACCATGCCGTGGAGAAAGGCGAGCAGAAAGACGATGACGCTCATAGAGTTCCCAAAGAGCCGGAGCGGCATGATGGGATTTGGCGTGAGGCGGGCATTACCTTCGAGTGCGATGAAGCCTCCCAACGTTGCCAACCCAACCAAGAGCGGTACGAGGACTTGGTAAGAGGACCATGAATATCTTCCTCCTGCCCAGCCAATGGCAACTAACACCGGAGCGCAGCCGCTGACAAAAAGCGCGTTGCCCAGCCAGTCGAGGCTCGAAGCCTTGGTGGCCCAAGTCTGGGATTTATCGTATTTGACCTTCAAAAAGAGGAACAACAATATAACTGCAGCACCGCCAATTGGAAGAGCCATGTAAAAAGCCCAGCGCCAGGTGCTGTAGCTCACGAGCAGTCCGCCGAAGAAAGGACCAAGAGCAGCTCCGAGACCGACCATGCCAAACACGGCGCCCATGTAGGTACCTCTCTCGCGAAGTGGTACCAAGTCACAGATGATGATCTCGCAGAGGACGGCGACTCCTGCTGCTCCAATACCCTGCACTGCTCGGCCACCGATCATTTGGGATATATTGGTTGCTCTATGCATTCATCTCATCAGCAAAGACTTCGAGCTTGACGAGAAAAGCCAGATCGCGATTCGAGCACCAGAGGAGTGACAACTTACCCGCCACAAACACCGCTCCCTATCATGAAGACGACCGCGGATATGATCATTGGCCATCGGCGACCGAATACATTAGCGAGCTGTCCATACATGGGCATCAGAGAAGTCCTACACAGATTAGTTCCCGCGTTCATCGCTCGAGTGTGAGCCTTTTGTTCCAAAGAGCCTTACATAGTCAAGAAGTATGCATTAGAGACCCAGATGAACTCTTCGCCCCCACCCAGATCGGCGACGAGCGATGGCATGACCGTCGAAGTGACTGTGGCCTCCAGAGCCGTGAGAAGACTCACTAGCGAGAGCACAACCATGATAGCCCAGAACCTTGGACCCTTCTGGAACTTTGACGGGTTCTTCTCCGTTGTTGGATCCTGTGCATCGACCGAAGCTTGTTTTGACTCCGGGTTCCGGACGGCTGGATCTTGCTGTGTCATCTTGCACAGCCAGGATGTCAGGTTTGAGTAGCGTTGGGACCTGTCGGACGATAGGTAGACCGTGTGGCTGGTACCAGAGCTGTAGTACAATGATGCGTGAGTAACGGGCGGTGTTAAAACCTTGGTATAGTAAGTTGATGGAGCGCCTGGGAATAGTTGCACCTTCGGTTACATGGGAGAAGCTGTGTGTGCCTACGTATTCAATGGTGCATGAAGTCTGGTAACCACCGCGGAGGGTTTCGTTGGATGGGTATGATCGGCCTCGCAGGGTTTTGCGATCCTCCGCGGTTGATACGATGAACGTGGAAGTGATTCGACTCGGTCGACAGGCTTCCTGCAGGTGGCCTGACCTTTACGGCGTTCAAGTGTGAATAAGCCCCCAAACGCATGTTGGTAGATACCTCACTTCCTTTCACCGGTGTATACATTCCGTACCTTGATTAGGTTAGCGTGCCGGCGTTTTTGCCGGCGCGGGTAATATCAAGCCACATCTTCAGCCACAGATGGTCACCGCGCAACGTTTCCGGTAAGCATACTACATTCGCGTGTCTCATATACATATTGACTCTACCAAACCCAACAAGTATATGACGCGATTAGATGACGAGAGCTGCGAGTAAGACGAAAATAGGATAAAGTCGTCCTCAGGTCGTAGCGGAGAAATCCTTCCCCATGTGAGAGGTGTCCTGGTGTAACTTCGCAATCAGATCCCCACCCAGCCTACGGGTGGCTCCTGCGGGTGGCCCAACGGCCCGCCGCCGTATCCCGCGTTTTGGGGTCGCACTGTCACGCCTTCGTTTAATGTACCAACGATTTACCATGCATGCTGCTCGGCGACCTTGAATCCTTTACGGCAAGTCCCATTACATCCCGTCAATTGGACGAGGAGCCAAAGGGATGCCCTTGGGGACATTGGCTTTTTCTTCCATCCACTAACACATCGCGATTATGCCACAACTGCACACCTCAGCTAGCATTCTGATCCTTCACATTCCGCAACGCTCGGGAGAGCAGGTTTCTTGATTGAGTGGTTGCTGTGTCTGCACCACCAACTCTCCGCCGAGCAGCAGTACGCCGCTCTGGGCACTGCGATAAGCACCTGGTCTGCGGGACAGGACAACAATAGCGTCAATCCTATCAGCCTTCTCGTGTCATACAAGGTTTTCTGCTGTACACCATTAACCTCACGTAAGACGGTCATAGCACTATCGCAAGCTTGCCGAGAAGTCTCACTTACTCCTGTAGCTGAAGACTAGCCTTGGTTTATACATTGGGGAGGCACGGCATATAGTTCGCACTATCACCATCGTTCGTCCTTACCTGTCTAGGTGTTACCAACCTAGCATGTCCTCGCATGATTTACACGCTGGCCTTTCTTTGTTCCCAACATGTCACGCCTAGATTCTTCCAGCTGCTTCTCGGGTTGCAAGTCAGGGTCTCTAGTGGAGAACCCGAGAAAAGAAAAGTCCCAACAGCTGGCTTGTGACAGGTGTCGAGGCCAAAAGCTCCGATGCATACGGAGCTCGAACTCTAAGACCCCTTGCGAGAGGTGTCAGAAAGCTGGTGCAACATGTATCATCGATACCGGGGTACGTATGGGAAGACCGAGACGGGCAGACAAGGAGCAGCCTCGAGAGAACAGCGGCAGTGCTCACCACCCATCCCATACTACACGATCATCACCTCCTCCCGAAGCTGAATCTCAAACGAGAACCGCTGTCGACTTTACCATGGATACCGATGCCTGGCTAGTACATGATCTCGACGACACACCGGTTGACCCAACGCTTCAAAGTGTTACGGTTCAGTATCTTGACCCCTTCGATTTTGCACTGCCTGGGGAAGGTACGCTCGACGACGAATCGGTAAACCTACCGACCGAACACTTTCTCATTCCAAATATGGATCTCTCCGCGGACCAATCTATTCCAGCTCGCACCGAATACGAACAAGCAGCAATCGGTTTCACCGAGCCACTCAACGGACGCAGTCGCTATTCACCGATGCGCCAAGAGATAATGCAAGAGTTGTCAGATTTGAACATGCAGCTGTCCCGACAGTTGGGCGCGGCAACCTCTACAGGAACTGGTTTTACGAACAATGACTCGGCTTTGGGTCTGACGGCTTTGGCTACACCACCGGAGGAGAACCGAACGCTCTGTGATACTGTCGTCTTTATGATGCAAAGCCTCCAAACCTACCACCGGCTGCTCGTGGATATCGTCAGACCCAATCACTCCGCTACGTTCGGCTCACATGACAACCTCAAGTTTAGCACTGTGACCAGCAGCTGCCTAAGCCCGGTCGAAGAGTTGGACATTGATGACTCAAGAAGCCGCATATCTGAGACGACAGGCCGATCGCCAGTGAAAAGGCGTCGAACAGATAGCAGCGTCGACTTCACTGTAGCGCACGAATCGTCTCACAGTACTAGTGTTGACATGCCTACGAGTCTTCTGCTACTGTCTTGTCACACAAATCTCCTGCACCTCTGTCGAAATACCTTTGCCGCCATTCGAGCAGGGTTGTTCGCCACACGTCGCCAAATCAATCTTTTCACGATCTCATTCCTCAACATAATGGATGTCTCCCTACCGCCCGATCCGGATCTGCAAATAATTGTCCTCATTCAAGCTGTGGTGAGAATGGTGGATAAAATTGGCCGTTTACTGGGCTACCCGAACGAATGCGAGGCCGGCTCAAGCGGTAATAGATGCGAGAGCGATACTCGCAGCAGTGTCATCCCGCGGCACCTCCTTGAACTGATGCTGAAAAGCGAAGGATGCGGAAATGGCTCGGCAGATAGAGCCGGGACTAAAGCGCTGAAGGAGGAGATCCGAGGATTACATGAGCTCGTTTACAAGCCAGTATGAAGGATATCGATGTGTGACAAAATCGAGCGGCATTTTTAGCAGGTAGACTTTCATACACACCGTCAATAAGATTATAGACGTACCACAAATTTTAGGAGAGTTGACTGTTCAACTTATTCGGGGCCGAGCCCGAGAAGGATACACTTAGGATACTCTAATGCGCTTTTGGGTGTCCTAAATCATGAGTAAGCATACCACAAAGCCGTGGGAACGGTACTGCCCAAATCTATGGGGTAATCCGAGCCGAGTAAGCTTCGGTGAATTCGCCTGGGACATGATTGCCGAGTGGCGTGATTTTGACGCGCTGTCAGACGGTCAGACGTGCCCATGTGTTCGGGACTTTCCAATCTTCCCACATCATACGTTCCAGCTCAGTTTGGAAGCAAAGGGACTGATGCAATCACAGGGATAAATCGCGTGCAAGAAGGAGACCTCTCAGCTGTCAGTTCCAGAGCTTTGCAAATTCCAAATATTGCTTGATCCGAAAGCACGGGAATCAGCTTTTGGCCTCTGTCAACTTTACATTCTTACCTGCCTATCGATCGGACCAGCCATGTCACTCGTCGAGATCTCTCTGCCGCTTCTTCGCCTCAGTCCGGCGCTCGTGTCCTCTATGACCCTCATGTTCGCCCTCGACGAGCACCTGATTTTTGGGACCTGGGTGCAGGGTCCCATCCGCCCACTGGCAAACTCTAACCTTCCTGCCTGGTGGACCAGGGGCGGTCTTCGATGGCAGTGGGTCCTTATCATCTTCTACCCTGTCAACTACCTTCTCGGCATTCTCAACCTGCTTATACCCGAGCATCAATATGGCTCGACAACGTGGTATGCATGGGGACTATTCTTCAGCTTAGCCCACATGCTATTTGCGCCAACGGCTCTGCAGCGCATCGCGGCTATCGAGAAGAACGTTCCAAAGGGCAATGTTGTCATCTCCATGGAATCTTGGCTTCGGATGAATTGGATTAGGGCGTGGACTACGGATCTACCGGCTTGGGTGTGCTTCATCGTTGCTGCGCTCAAGGCGCTGTGACAGTTTGTAGTGAGCAGGTTGGAAACGACAATGTGGATGACGGCGTCGATAGAGTGGGAATGAGAAGGCGAAGTGGGGACGGTAGATTGCAATATTGAATGTCGCAATATGTGACCACAGCGGGTGTGAAATAATGATCGAGGACTAGCCCCCATTCTTGACAGAATTGTTGAGCGTGCGATGTGCTGACGATGCGAGGTCTGTACGAAGTGACTCCACACGTCCACGTTCATGATAGGGGTGAAGCTTTGGCCGTCTACGCGCGGGCCCACTCCTTAGCCTCACGCTAGCGGACCGGTCTCCCGGAGGCTCTTTGGTTGGATGACTTCTCTCTACCAGAAGATCAAAGACTTCGTGACGCGGGAGGAAGGTGTTACATATTATTGGTATATATAATGCAGCTGGCACAGTCCAAGAGCTCATGCTTGTTGCTAAAGTACCCGATAAAGAAAGATTTTGCAAACGCGCGGCTACATCGGTTGCGCCAAATCACCTGAATGCGTGGCACAGTATCCAGCACAACATCCATTGCCTTTGTGATGCTTTCTCTACTACCCCAGATACATCGCACTGCAGCACATCAACAAAAGAGCCGAATGAGGGACGAAGCTTTCCCCTAATTGCGTGTCGGAGTAGAGCGCTACCAAGGCCAAAAAACAGCCAATCGGTAGCCCGATAGTGCGGAGGCTCTGTACCCAGAGCACGACCGAGAGCAAGGCACTGACGAGGACCAGGAATGCGTTCAGCCTCGAATCCGAAGGATTCAGCCACGAGAACAGGACTCTTTTGTGCCCCGGTAGCATCGTGTCAAGGTTTTTGGAGAAACTCGGGGTAAGTCGCGAGGTCAGGCGGGCTTGTATGACGAGGACGTTGAAGAAGACTAGCGTCTTGCAGATGCAGTCACTTATGAACGGCCCCCACGACATATTTGCTGTGGAAATAGGTCGAAGACCTTCAAGAGATACCGTTAGAATTTTGTACACGGTTCCTTATCGGAACAATAACCGATCTCTGTGTATAAAAGAACTTACCGTGATTGGAGTTGGCGTTTTTACCTCGAATGATACACTGGGATGACGACTTGTTTTGGCCTT